TTTTTTTTTTGTAAAACCCTTTTTATGAAGTTTATTTTCAAATTCATGAGGTCTTTTGACTTGAAGTGGTAGAAGGGTAATCTGTTTTGCTACATATGATAAGTTAAACTAAACATTTGGTATTACTGTTCACTGAAGAAGCCTTTGAAAGGACAAATTTTGGGGGGTTTATTTTGTTTTGGCTGCTTATGTGTCAAAACCTTATTCAAATTTGAAGAAGTAGTCATAATTTTTTTTCTTTCCCAAAATGCTTATTCTTTTTCTCCTGGCCACCAGAGTCTTTAAGGGCTCTTATAAGAAAGAAAGTTGCAGGTTGCCACAAGCAATTATAGCTATTGAAAGGACAATCCACTGACTAGATTGATGGTAAAAAAGGCTGCTCTCTTTCCTTAAAAGAAAGTGGAACTTTGTTCTCATTGTAGATAAGGGTAGGTGGAAATTAATTTTAGTTTGTGGTCATGACAGAACTTCTTGGTATTCAGTAGAAGCTGAAAGTATTTTGATGCCAACTAGTCCAGAATGTTATGGTTTGGTCCTGTCTTGAAAGAGTTTTATGTCCAGAATAGTTTTGGGGTCAACTAGAACTCCTACAGTCAGTTCTAGTTCATTATTAATAAAATTAAATACTCTACCATTTAGCATTTTGCTATTGCAACTCCTATTTAATTTGTGTCCTAAGTCTCAGAGACATTAGCTATAAAAAGCCTGAACTGCACCTCCTGTATGTTTTTCTAGTCTCTGTACTCGTTCTGCTTCTTGTACTAGCCCTGAACATGGTAGATAGTCCACAAATGTTTCTAAAAATGGTTAGTGCATAAATACCACTTTTAATATAATATCAATGCTTTTCTATATTTTCTTAGTGAGTTGGGATACTCTAAAGAGTATTTTCTAAGATGCAAAAGATTTTACAATGACACCTTGCCATGATTTTATCACATTTCTATTTGTAGTGTTTGTTTTCACATTTGAGCTGATTAAATGTTTTTGAAATGTAGTTAAAAAGCATATTAACATGGTTCTTAATACTGCAGTCATTTTATGCTTAAAATCTGTTTAGGTTTGAAGTACTACGCAACAGATTCTGTGTTCCTACTTGATGCCACATACCCAGCTGCAGCTTTATTTGAAAAATGAACCTGCAAACTTGCCATTAACCAAAGTTACTAGGTAGTATTTTTATATAGTTGATGTTCCTGTAAGTTTTAAATGTCACTTGAGTATATATATTTATTTTACATTACAGGCACTGGAGATATTATTGCTGTCATGATTACAGAATTGAGGGGTAAGGATATTTTGAGTTATCTGGAGAAAAACATCTCTGTACAAATGACAATAGCTGTTGGAACTCGAATGCCGCCAAAGAACTTCAGCCGTGGCTCTCTAGTCTTCGTGTCAATATCCTTTATTGTTTTGATGATTATTTCTTCAGCTTGGCTCATATTCTACTTCATTCAGAAGATCAGGTACACAAATGCTCGCGACAGGAACCAGGTGAGCTTCTCTATGGTGATTGATGCCTCCCAGTAATAATTCCTAGACACATGATCATATATAATGCAAGTTTTTTTTCATTAAAAAAAAAAGTTGTGACCTTCAGTCATTTTAGTAATATGTTGAGAACTATACATATATTTTACACAATTATTTTAATCATTTTAAATGCCTAAATGGAAAAATTAATACATTTATAATGACCAGTTGGAATATTCTAGGTAGATGGTTAGCTTAATGTCATAATATGATCCAGCTAATTGTAGTAACTTGAAGAAATATCACAAAGTTGCATTTTAAACTGTTAACACTGGTAGTCAGTGGTAAGGGGAACTTTGGAAGATGGAGGAAGCTGATTTCACTAAATGCCCTTTTGTTTTGTATGAGTTATCTTGCCACTTAATTTCATAATAAATACAGCAACTAAAAATCAATACCTGGCCAAGTACAGCCATAGAGTGAGGATACAGTGGGGAAGGACCAGTAGAAGAGATCTGTTTAGATAGTCCCACCAGAAATTTCCATTGATGATCACAGACTAAGCACTCAGGGGATTTTGGTTGAATGAATAAAAGACTCAAGAAAGACACTAAGCTGCCCTGTACAGCATGTGAATTTTCTGTTTGTTACTTAGGTTTGGTTAATATGCTGTAGAAAGAATGTTCACACTGAGAGTAGGCTCAAGGTCTTGGATCCCAGGGCCAGTCTAGGCATTTCTGGGAGGAAACTAAGAAATGAATTGTGTGGAGAGTGGGTTGAAGGCAGTTTCTATGCAACACATTTCTCTCCTTACTTACAGAACATATAGAACATAAAGCTCTCTATGAGAGAATTGAAATGTTCGTCCTCCCTTATTCTATGGAAGGAATACAGACTTTGAATCTAAATTCAAGTCCTGGCCTTCCCATCAGATTGTCGTGATCCCTCTTGGACTATTTATCTAAGTTTTCATCTGAAAATAAGTATAAGAGATCTGAAAACTAATTTATTGAACGTTTGTACCAACTTTGTACAGTAATTCTGCACACCTTTTAAATTTTCATGATAATTTTTATAACTTCAAGCTTATAGAAATATTACATGAATAGTAATAGAATGCTGTGTAAATGGATTCTCATAGAACTTAACTAACTGTATAATTAGGATAGCCTCACCCAGCATACTTCCAAGTTGTATCAGTAGTTTTTTCCTTCTTGTTACTGAGTGACTTACATTCTAGTTTCTGGCTCTTGTAAATGAAGTAGCTGTAAGCATTCATACTCAAGTTGTTGTGTGACCATTAGTTTTCATTTCCCAGAAATAAATATTAAAGGGTGTTAATTTCTGTTCTCTTATGGTAAACATTTAATTTTGAAAGAAACTGCTATATTCTTTTCCAAGTAAGTGTGCCATTTTACACTTCCCCCTGGAAATGTGTGCCTGATCCGGTCTTCTGTATCCTAGGCAGTGTTGGCTACTTTTACTTTGGTCATTCTGATGTATAGTAGGTATGTAGCAACATCTTGTGATTTTCATTTGCATTTCCATGTCTACTACTGATGTTGATCAGCTCTTCATGTGCTCATTTGCTGTCTGTATAGCCTCTTTGGTGAAATGGCCTTTGCCCATTTTCTTTTTCAAATTATGTTTATTAAGGTAAAGTTGCTTTACACTGTTGTAACTGCTTTGGAGGTTGTAGGTTTAAACTTCTACAAATAAATGTTTTAACACCAAGCCCACATGAGCTATGTTTTTCTGTGGAGTTTTGAAAGTTCTTTATATATCTAGATACAAGTCTTTTGTCAGATAATTTGATTTATAGATATGTCTCCCAGTTTTTATCTTCCCTCATGGTCTTTTGAAAAACAGGTGAATGATGAAGACTAATTTATCAGTTTTTCATTCTATTGATCATTCTTTTTTTAAAAATCAAGTCTTGTTAGCTCACCATTCAGTTTCCAAGTCTCCAGCTCCCATCTTGACAGAAACAGAGGTGTAACAGGTACAGGTTTCATAGACGCCCCTACTCCAGATGCTGGAACTCCAAATCCCATCAGTACCAAGAAGAAGCACGCGAGGATGTGAGGGCGGAGCTGAGCAGCCAGGTTGGGATAAAACCGGACATATGGGCTGGGGGGTGGGGAGGGGACTTTTGGCCTGCTGTTTCGCAGCTGATCGTTTTTTGGCGCTCAATCGGTTTTCAGCGTGCCAGTGGAGTCCAAGCGAGCAGAACTGGTAGGACATCCTAGTTAACCTGGGTTTCTCTCCCTCTTTCCCTGGGTTATTCCTTTACCTTTCTCCTTATAAATAAATCCATTATTTAACCTTTAAAAAAAAAATCAAGTCTTAAGATTATTGTAGTGGAAGAAACCCGTACCATGTATTTTAATATCCTGTATTTTCATTTACATTCAATTTTTTTCTCTACAACATCCTCTTTAACTCACATATTAGTTAAAAGTGTGTTAATTTTTAGTAGTTTGGAGATTTTGCTGTTATCTTAGTGAGTCCATTATGTTCAGAGAAAATCTCTGATTTCAGACCTTTTAGATTTTGGAGATTTGTGTCATGATCTGCAATATAATCTGTCTTGCTTTGATATGTGCTTGAAAAATGTTCCACTGTTACAGGAGTGTTATCAGTTAGAGCTGTGTGTGCTTAGCTTGTTGGGGGGCATGGGAAGTAAAAAGATAACTTCTCCCCTGGTCCCGGTGTATCCAAAGTGGAAAAGAGATGCTGTTCTCCATTACTGTTTGGCTAGAGTAGAGCAATGTAGGCTATTTTTCCTGGCACTTTGGCTGGGGAAGTGAGCTTGGGGCTGGGGGTTTAGTAGTCAGGGCTAGTCATTTTCTGTTGGCAGGTCCAGGTTGAAGGCTTCTACAGCCCATGATCTGGGACTTGAGAGGCCACAAGGCAGCTCTGGGAACTCACTGCCCGATGTTACTCAAATCTCAAGTTTCCTGGGCAGCTCACCATTCTTTCCACCTTTGGGAAACTGCCTGTACCTGTTTGTGTTGTCACATTCAGGGTCTTTCAGCTGTAAGGAAGAGAAGCTGGCTGGAAGGGCCTACTCCCTCATGGCAGAACTGGAAGTCCCCATTGCATCACCTCTGATTTTTTGCTTGTACTTAGGTGATAAAGCAATATTAGGGGAAAGCGTTAACTAGTCTAAAACATACCACTTTCACACACAAAAAAAATTCTGAAGTATTTATATGACATCAAATGAGTAGCCTTAAAATAGAATGCATCTGTTCTATCAGATTGTTGATAAATTCAGATATAATTTAAAGGTCAGCTCACTAGTAACAAAATGATAACATTCAATTATTTATCATCAAAATACCTGGCAAGAAATTCTATCTAATGTACTTGAAGAAAATAATCAAAGTTCTTTGGCTTCTTGAAGGACAATATTAATTGCACTTAAAAGTGTCATTATTTTAACAGTTCTATTCGGTAATGTTGCCTTCATTTTTAAATATAAAATTTTAACCAATAAAATACTTGATTCTTAAAAATGAATAGTACCAAGGTCTTTATTCCTCACTCAGTCTTTTCTGATTCCTAATTCTTACTTCTCAGCTACAAGTTAACTTCTTTCAACTCCTCTAATCTATTCTGTTATTAACTTCATATAGTCAATTAAGTAGCCTGCTCTGCCTTCTTTTTATAAATTGAAATTTTGTTTTTAAATGTACTGCCATTATGAAACATTAAAGGTAAAATGATCGAGTTGATCTGAAATGGTACTCAGGACAAGAATGTGGTATATCCCAAGGAGTCTGCTTTAATTAGCACCCAGTGTGGGGCCTGAGAGTGATGAAGGTGTCACTGCCATTGCCATCTGGCATAGGCCACAAACAGGAACTGTGTCCTAGCATTTGGTTTGTGGCTGCCTGCTCGAGGACTTCCAAAGCATTTTTCTCCAGATGCTACAATAACGGAAAGTGATGCGCTGACCTTTTTTCCTCCTTCCGTTTTTCCTAAGGTTTAGAAACACTTGATGAAATTTTTATGTGGCTTAAAAAGCTTAGCATATTAAAGTTTAATAAGAAAGTGGCGGCAACTCAACTGGTTGAAACCTTTGGCTATTTTAAACGAGAAGCCAGAATTATTAGCAAAGTAAAAACTGCGAGTTTAAGAAGAAGCTTTATTTTCTCCTACAAACTGTCATGAAGCACATCTTTTTACAGGATATACCCCCCAAAGACAGTCTTATAGCATAAATAACCTCTAAGCACAGTGGAATCTTTTATGTGTGAGGTAAGAATCTGTTGCTTCCGCTTTTTAGTTTACAGCTAAGTATCTGGTTTGTTCTTAAAGACTGTTAGAATGCATCTAGATACAGTGTTAGAAGTAAGTACAAAGAGGTCAAATGACTGATGGTTAACTTAAATTTCACCTTCTAATAAGTTAGGGTTATTTATTCCACACAAGGAGATAGATAGATGGTTGCCTTGTTCAGATTGAAAGGGCCCGTAAGTTTTTTCTGAGAAATGTAAACTTTTCCACAGTTATGTGGTTAATACTGTGCCTTTAATCCCAAAGTAATCATGTTTGATTCCCAAAATAGAATGACAAAACTTTTATTTTACTGTTGAGGAATAGGACAGATGTAAAAAATTCCAAATTGTAAATATAGTTCTGGAAATCTTCTTAGGAAAATTCCCTGTGAAAATGCATACAATTTCTAAAGTATTTAAAACTTGTCAAAATATGTATACAGTAAATATTGTAAGGTACTAATATTAAATATGCTTTTGTTTCCCACTATTTACCTTGGAAGGTAGCTAACTGGAGAATTCATTTGCATGTCTGACTATGGAAGAATACTAGATGTTCTTCAGAGAAAGGCTGATATTTTACAAGTACAAAGTTTATCTTTGGACAAGGATGGGATCAAACGTTTGGCTTCCAAATTAGGGAGAAAAAAATGTGTGTCAAGATTTTTCCCCTAGGAAAAGTTTTCTTAGTCAAAAGAGGCAGACTTTTTGTTAGTGTTCAATGGTGGATTGAAT